AACGAGACAAACACCAAGGAAATCACAGAACAAAACGTGGTGATCCCCAAATACGGCCCTCGCGAGAGCCTCGGCCCATCGCAAAAGCTATAAACACCTACACACCCAAACACACAGAACAATCAAATCAAATCAAATCAGAACTTAAGTCCACCAGGCAGATGAATGATCTAAAGTAGAACTTACAGAAAATGATGGCGGATCTTAGGAGGGAAATGAGAGGGATATCGACGAGGGAGGATCTAAAATCGTAGTTTGTGAGATGAGAAGGAAGGGATTTGAGGGAAAAGGAGTAAGGGTAAAGAGAAGCAGAGAGAAGAGCAGAGGGAAGAAGGGCATCGGCGATGACGAGAAGAACAGGGGCGGACAAAAGGAGAAGGGAAATCAACATGGTGATTAAGAAGAAAAGGGTTTTGATTCCTCTCCATAAACGCTTGGATTTCTCTTCTTTTGAGAAACCCATTTTCAGTGAATTGGGATTCATTGGATTCCTAGTGCTCTGGCGTGCTCTGTTGTTGCTGTTGTTGTGGTGGATTATGAGGAGTTGCCCATTTTTAAGCTCATCAGGGCCGCAAATGATTCTGTTGACTCAAAGTCTGCGCACTATGAGGGCCATCACAAAACTCTCTCTCTTCTCTCTAACCTAACGACAATACCTAAATACCTCGGCTCACATTTTTAACTTTCCTTATTAATTAATTGAATAAATAACAAAATAAAATCAATTTAAATGGAATGAAAACTTTAAATTGTTTGTGGTTAAAATAATAAAATAATAATTTTTTAAAAAAACAAACATGAATATGAGTAGATGGCGGGACCGACTTGATTTTGAGGCATGTGATCACATGGAGCAATTTTTGTCATGGGGTATTTTAATAATTTAATTTATTTTTAATACTATATTTCAGGTTGGGGCATTGGTGGGATTCCTTTTTCTGGTTGGATTAATAAATAATTTTAATTAATCTAAAATTAAATACCTTCTACCATCCTCATTATTTATTTATTTATGAGAGCTTTAATTTTCTTTATGTTGTTTCAAATATTCCCTCCTAACAATTTCTCTATGTGGTTGTATTTTATTATTAGTTTGGACATTGTTTAATTAAATTTAGTAGTTAGTTTAAATGAACAGACACATGACAAAAATTTGATATGTTTTTTAATTTAACTATTACCTATTACATGTGAATCACTCTATATTTGCAAACGATTAATCATAAAAGAATTATTCATATTTTGAGGTTCTAAATTAAATTATAAAATTTAATATATGAATTGGGATAATTTTAAAAATTCACAAATCTACCCATTACTTGATTTAGTTTCAAATTTGATATGAAAGTTTAAAAATATATCTAACATTCATCTGGAAAACAACTTACTCTATAAAAGTTCAAAAACCAAGATATATAGTGATTGAATCTATATTTTATTTCTTAGTTTTAGAATAAAGATCATGTAGATGGTTCATAGTTTTGGGGCATTGTTGAAATAGAGCCTTTATGTGTCGATTAGGGTCGAGTTAGATGATCCTAATCCAACAAAGGTTATGAGCAAGTGGCCCACTTAAAAAAAAAAAAAAAAAGTGGTCTCTTGATTTTGATATTTTGCTATACGTATGCATATCTAACTTGATAGGAGAAGTTTCTCACCAAATATTTTAAATACTCACTCTAAAAAAAAAAAGATAGATAAAGGCAAAGGTGTGATGCGAGAGTGACAGAAAGGGTTGTTGGTTAATTTATGGGTCGATTTTTAAACTTTATGACATTGAAGTTGTAGATCAATGGCGCTTTTGGAATGTTTTATTTATATTTGTATTTAATCTTTTGAAATGAGAACTCCAAACCGTTAGCTTACTGAAAATCTTTTACAATATTAATTTTTAAAGTAATGATTTTAAATATTATCCTAACACGGTGTTATGTCATAATTTAAACGAATTAAAGCCCTTAAAAGCTTTATGAAAAAAAAGTACCAAAAACATAAAAAAGATGAGGAGACAACATTGGTAAGACAGGTGATATTTGTTGGGACTAGGAGAGTGGTTTATATTTGGTTTATATTCTTATCTAAACCAATCCAATCACATACACATTAGACCAAATGGAAATCTCAGTCCTAAAAGATTCCACACATTTAACTAATTTAAAAAAAAAACAAAAACAAAAACAAATTTTACTATTAATAAATTATTTTAATTATTTAAAAAAAAACATCAAAATTTATATTATTATATATATATATATCCATTCATATACGTCACTCAGGCATATTGACACAAATCCACCTCATCCCCATTTTTCTTTTTCTTTTTTTAATTTATTAAATTAAACTAAACTAGTTCCCAACGTCAGCATCAATATTATAAAAACTACAAATGAGTTAAGGATTTTAAAGTTTATTTAATTAAAAAATGATTTTTGAATTATTATGGATTTAAAAATATTAAATATCTTCAAATGAGTTAGATCATTGCGTTTGTCATCAAATTTGAGGAATTAAGATTGATAATATCTTTCATAAACAAAACCCACAATCTTTTTTAGCCTTTAAATTTGAAAAAAAAAATCATAATTATTATTATTATTTTTTTAAATATAAAGTTATACTATATTCAAATTGATAACATATATTATAAGCTCAAATCATGCCTCTAATATTTACTATCGTCTAAAAAAATACTAATTTCTATATTTCTTTATATTTTTTAAAAGCAAAATGGGATGGTAAAGAAAAACTAGGGGGGTTTGACAATATTTTGGCAGTCAACGAAGAACTCATGAAGCGAGCAACACATGATAGCAGCCCTGATTTTTGGTTTTGAATTTCAAGGTTGAGTTATTTTAAATTAATGATAGAAATAAATAAAAAGATGAAATGAGTATAATTGATTTGGAAAATGTGACGTGTCATGAAGGTACAATAACCACATGCCACATGGAAATTAAATCACCCTATAAGTTAGCTGATAGGTTCATTTAATAAAGAACAAAATAAAACCAAAGCCATAAAAACATATCCACGTGGCTTGCCCATGACAACATGAAGCCCTAGCTTAGCTCACGAGGTAGGGGACTTTACCATATGGTAACACACGTTTTGTGTTTTTCAATCTTTTAGGGATTTTTCTTCTAAGTATGATTGAAATAAATCCTTCTCGTTCTACTTAGCTCATTTTTCTATTGTTCAGAGTGTGTCTAAAATTTAATTGACTCTATATCGGATTGTTACTCTTAGTTTAATTTTTTCAACTATATATTAGATCTATATACTGTTTGAGTATCGTGCGTGTATGAATGACAATTTCCATCATTCTTCTATAATCGTTGGATATACAATCCACTTTATGCCTAAACTTTTTTTTAATTTCATACCCTACTTTGTATACTAATAAAAACGAGTTTCTCGACTTTTCAAATTTCGTTAAAATTAACAAAAATAGTTTTTACATTCTAATTTTAATTTATTTTTTTTTTCGTATAGCAAATGGTTGGAACCAGAATGAGCCCAACTACTGCTATTAAAGGCCCAATCATAAATACGGCCCAAGGTTTAAGCCCACCCTATGCTGATCCATTGGGCTGCTGATTCTTCTAGTTCGTAGTTTCCAGCTGCCGTTGAAGAATTTGGGGGTCAACGAGACAATTATAATTAATAATAATTAATTGTGCATTTCGAAAAACGTAATATTTCAATATTAAATTAAATTTTCTTAATTACTAAAATAAAAACGTAAACTAATAAAATTAGACCTAATATAACTTACTTAGCATAAGAGATACCAGATAAATTATAAGACTGTGCATCACCTAATAGCTAGACTAACCTTCTCTAAACCGACAAAGAAAATCGACCGAATTTATTTCGTTCAATTTGATTATAACAATGATTTTGAATAGAAAAGTAATGTCGTGGCCTTCTAAACTTAATTGATTTGATGGATGAAGTTGATGAATGGGCCTCACCTTTAGCAAAACATAAGTTTGATATATTGAAAGCATAAAAACTTTTATAAATGCTTATACATTCCAAAAGCACAAAACTCACACCTCATTTAATGACAAATTAGGGTTTGGTTGCTTGGTTATATCGATAGGTGGGGTGCTTTTAATGCATGTCCAACCCCCTTTCACAATCAAATCACCTCCCAACCATACCTATCCAAATTTACTTCAATTCAGACGGATATGTCTAAACCAAAAGATGTTATTTTTAGTTATTTACTAAATGTTATATTGGGGGAAGAGTTAGAAATTGTGTTATTTGAAATGTATAGTAACGATCGATTCTTATCTTTTTTATCACAATTCTAGAGAAATGTGTTTCGGTATGTTTATATTTGTAATGGTGGTGGAAAAGTAGTGGATGAATTTTTTTAAATGGATATACAACCCTACAAAAAGAAATTTTAAAAAATATTGTGCACAAAAAATTTATTGATTTATAGTTGTGAAAGTAAAACATGACACGATGCCTATACTATACTTGGCCCCCACAAAACACCACCATCAATTGCCCCCTAGCTAGGGAGTACCTACCCTGACCAATGTTGTTTGTGGGGGCATTCTTTGTGAGCAGTAGGTGGACAATTAACTATACCTATTAATTAACATGGGAAGCATGACATTAAGGTCAAAGGATGCTCGCATAGTTTAAATGAAGTCTAGAAAAATGCTATCGTCAAGGATCATAAACATAAAATTATGACTTAAAAATTAGGTATAATAGACGGTTCGTTGAGCTTCTGTGTGAGAAAGGTAACGATTGCATGTATATAGATAAGACTCACTTTTTGAATAATTTAGAACAAAAAATTTATATTAAATCTACACAATAATATATGATATTGTTCACTTTGAGTAAGCTCGGGTGGTTCATTCATGTGCTCTCATCCAAAAATGTAAAACAATAATTTAAAAGTAAATGGTGTTCCTAAAACAAAATTTAACAAATTGTTTTGGGGAAAGATTGAAATGTTGAGCGTAGCGCAAACAAAATCAGCGGTTTATAATAAGATAGAGGGAAATGAATGCTGTAGAGATGCAAACCATTGTCAAATTTCGCTTTCAATCTGTTCAGCCTTTTCTCTCGTGACCTTAACAACTTCATCCGAGCAAGAGGGAGTAAAATCGGCGGTTCGTCCTTTTTTCCTTCCCTTCTCCCTTTTGATGTATCTGTTTGATTGAGTGCACGGACATGGTAGGACCTTCGAGACCTCAGTTCGTTCTTTTTGGATCTTCCATTACTCAGTTCAGCTTCTCCAATGGCGGTTGGGGTGCTATACTCGCCGATGTTTATGCCCGCAAAGTAACTCATCTTTCTCTTTCGCTTTTCTCTGCTTTCCTTTTCTGCTTTTTTCTTGTTGAAAATGTTTGACCCATCTGCCCATCTTTGAATGCCCTCAACGGAAATTCCTTTTCGTTTTACCTGAAATGAATGGGATTGTGCTTCGAAGTTCTTTTGTTAAATTTGGATTTGATAGCTCTCCGGTAAAGCCTGAAGACAGAATTTGTTTTTTGTTTAGTTATTTATTTATCTTATAGTTTAGTTGTTGGCTTGGTATAGTGACTTAAGCCAACAGAAATATAAACAGCTCTTAGAGTAAATGAGTTCAAATCAGGTTAGCTTTTGAGAATCTTAAGGATTCATTTTTAAGTTTTGTTGCTTTCTCACTTCATAGGGGTTGGATTTTCTCAACCTGCAGAATAGTTGTTTGGTTTAATCTTTATACTGAAAAGTGTTTTGTGCAAGTCTTGATCAATATGGATGTAAAGGGAAACAGAGATTTGAACCTTTAGATCTCTTGATCAAGAATCTAATGTGTTAACTAGTTGAGTTAGGGTCAAGTTGACGACGTAAATCATCAAAGTTAAATACCACATTCATCAAAGAGGTATGGCCATCTCTTTTAGATTGCACCCCACTTTAGATGATTATATTTGTGCTTGAAAAGACTACATCAGTTCTACTCTACTTGTGCTTGAAAGAACTCCGTCAGGCTGCTGGGTTTGGCTTCATTATGTTAAGGCTTGTTTTTAAGCCCATATAACTTGAGATCTGATGTAAACCTATTGTGTTGGGTCTTTATAGAAAGGGAAGCCTTTTCCTGTCAATTATATTCCTTTTTGACTAAATATTTACAAATCTACTGTCTTACATGATTTTTTTAAATTTATTCCATATTTTCTTTCCCTTATGTCCATGGTATGATTGTATTTTTATTTTGAAATATGATTGGATTCTTCCCTAATGTGACATATTTCGCGAATCAGAATGTTTTCTTCTTATTTTCCACTATATAAAAAAAAAATCTTTCCTTATCATAGCAAAATTGTCGTCGCTCTCAAAAGTATTCTCACCAAAGAACCATTTGCATTCCCCTGCACTAATTCCTTCCTTTTTCTAGAGTGGCATTTTCTGTTCTGCATAAATTAGTTAAATAATATATTTTCCCTACAATTTTTTCTTATTTATTTTCTACCTCTATATAAAAAATTAGCATTTCAAGATTCTCTTATTACACTACTTTCCAGAGAACCCCCCACCCCCGTTTTCAGACTGAAATCAGATTGCTGCTATTTTTTAGTTGAATTTGTTTGTAAGTTTGAATTCTATACATGCCTTATTGTATGCTTTGTGACAATTTTATCTTGAGCCCCTTTCCTTTCAGGCAGATATATTTCTACGAGGTTACTTAAGTTGGAATTCTCGGCGCGCTGTACAGGTTCTTGATCAGGTTTTTCCAAAGGTATTGTGTCAAGTTTTGTAGAATTTGGAGGTGTCTGATTATTTTATTGTTTGCTAGAATTATATGGTTGTTTAGCTATTTCCTCATGTGTAAATCACACAAATTTGTTACTTATATGTTTGACAATAAAATTCTTTTTATCTGATAGGAATGTTTCAAAAGCAGAACCACTTTTCTATGCCGAATAAACTATAGGGTATAGGAATGGATGTATATGAAAACGTTGCCCAGTTTAGATATACACATATACACAGAGCAAGAGCATTTCATTAAAATATGAAGGGATATATAAAAAAAAATATAAGAAGGAAAAAAGGAAAGAGGGGTGAGGAGAGGCATCTACCCTAGACCAAAGAGATTGCAAAAAGGCTCTCAAATTGTACAAAAGTGAACAGAGAGAATAGTTGCAAAAAACTTTGGATCAGACACTAACTAAAGTGAAAATCGACTACATGTAAAGAGAAGTCAAAATTCCTTCCCTTGTTTTGGAAAATTCCTTTATTCATCTCCGTCAATAGTTCCCATTGCACAGAAAAAGATAGGGTTAATCCATGAAACTGAAGTGATGTTTACTCTCTTCCTTGCTCTCTTTTATAAAGGACACTCCAAGAAAAGGGATAGAGAACAAATGAAATTCATTTGCTGGATTTTTTGAATGTTACCTTTAGTTGCTTTCTCGAACTATAAATATTTGTGACAGGTTACACGCACCTCGTGTAATCTCACCAGACAACTATTTGAAATTACATTTGGTTGTATAAAAATTGATAGGATTTTAATATCCCAGGTAGATCGTCATGTGGGAGTTCATACTTCTTATTGCATTCTCAGAAATGCTATTATTAGCTAATTTTATCTTCATGTGTGGAAGGGACAAAAGAGGACTGGCCCCAATAGTATCACAACTATATCTCCTAATCAAAGTTCCTAGGTTCATTAGCTGGATGGAAGTACCAATATCTAGAACACTTCCATTAGGGATGGAATTTTGCATTCATTTCTTACACTTGTGAATGAGTTCCTTGTGCTGCCATTGCATATAAATTATTCAATGGGCAGATTTCTGCAAGTATTATCAGTTGGAACTGTAAATAATCGGTAGAAATTCTCAGACTGATAGAACTTGATATTATTTATCAACGAAGAGAGTTCAAACACGGGGAATTAGAAAGCTCCCCCTTCTCTTCTAGACCTGATTACTTCAGTTCATTAGGGCATAATCCCTTCTTCCTTACTTGCGTCCTCCAAATACCTCTCAAGTCACATGACTTGATTATACTAAGTGACGACTTAGTTTCATTTCTGATTAAGGAATTTGAATTATTTAGGTTCGAGGTGATCTGTGTAAACCAGCGATGTTAATTTGATATCAATATCTGTATGATTAGTAGGTTTTTCACACAACATTATTTTCATTCTCACCCCTACTTGTTCCTCTTTTCTTCTTTGTGCGATCTACGTTGTCATTATTATCATTGCTTCTGCCATGTTATTTATTTATTTACTTGAGTCTCAGGATGCTGCTGTACAGCCTTCTTTGGTAATAGTTTATTTTGGTGGTAATGATTCAATGGGTCCCCATGCATCTGGCCTTGGCCCTCATGTACCACTTCCTGAATACGTTGATAACATGAGAAAAATTGCAACTCATATCCAGGTATTCCAAACACAAACTTGATATTAACATCAGCCTACTAAATTGATCCTCAAAAGACTATTGAACGCGAAATTAGTAGGTAAAACCATTACTTGTAGCTAACAAGCCTACCGGTCGCTGAAAGAATAAATTGAATCATACTCTTCGTTTTCTTATGTTAACTGCTGTGGATGCATATTCTAACATAAATCCTTAAAAAATCAGGGTCTTTCAGATAAAACGCGCCTTATCTTTTTAACGTGCCCTCCGGTGAATGAAACCAAAGTTCGTGAAAGTTCAAGGTGCCTTATGCAATTTAATGCATTGTTTCCAACGTCCTTGTTTATTTTGTATTTTTATTCTAAGATAGTTCATTTGTTTTATTAAATTATGCAGCAAGTTTCTCAGTGAACTGGTGAGAACAAATGAGTTGTGCAAGGGGTATGCCCAAGCTTGTGTAAAGCTGTGCCAAGAAATGGGTGTAAAAGTTGTTGATCTTTTTAGTGCCTTCCAAAAAAGAGATGATTGGATGAACGTTTGCCTCACGTAAGTTCGTTTTCATCATCATTTTGAATATTGATTGTAATTCATATTTCTTCAATCTGATTGAGAAATACAAACTTCCATTTTCTTTTTTGTAAGATGCTACGAGTTTTAGGAAACTGAAAAACGTTGGGCATCATCTTTTCGGTTGGTTTTTGGTTTAGTTTGAAGCGATTCTGTTTCCTGTTTCCCCATTTTGCAGAGATGGGATTCATTTGTCAGCTGAAGGGAGCAAAGTAGTGGTGGAGGAGATCATGAAAGTTCTCAAGGAAGCTGAATGGAAGCCATCTCTATTCTGGAAGTCCCTTCCAACCGAGTTTGCAGAAGACTCACCTTACGATCTTGTTGCAGCCAATGGCTCAAAAACTCTCAACGGGTCCGATTGGATTATTCACCGAGATATCATGTGGGATTAGTTTTGCAAGAATTCCATAGAAGACAAAGGGAATGTGAGAGAAGTATGCAGCACTTGATCTTTCATTGTTGCAATTACAAGCAGCAGAAAATTTTAGGATTGAGTGGATAGAATGTTGTATTATAAATTAGTAATAAGTTTTTCATAAGCTTCTTGGAAATTAATAATATCATATGTGCTGCTTTATTTCTGTACTGAACACCACGCAGAGACAGCAGGCAAGCTCAGCTAATGTAGCCAAAAGTAGAATATTTGTACCTCAGTAGTCCCTTTATAATTATTTTTCAATTCATATTACATTAGAGATGGAGTAAATGGCTTTGATTCGAATCATCCAGAGTGATATTAATTATGAAAAAGGTTGTGAAAAATGTGTGTTTCACTATTATTTAGAATCAAACCCAGCAATTAAGTGTTTGAAGCAGAAAAGTTTGTTTGTATCATAGGTTCAATCATAAGAGCTTCGTTGTAAACGTGTTTTATATAGACATGTTGTGTGACTTTTTTGAAAATTTTTCTATAATACGAGCGTGCATACTGAGAAAACTTGTTACTTACACTTTTTCTCTTACTTGTCTCTCTCAAATTTTCAATGCTATTTCTCTCTTTTTATGAATTATTTTCATTTCAGTAATTTGTTAATTCCAATCATAAACTATTTTTTGTTAAAATATAATTCATCACAAAAATCATTCTAATTAAGTCAAAGTCATTTTTGTTACATTAATAAAGTGCTTATTATATAATAAATAGGGTTTTATTGGTATTACTTTCTCAAATCACAACTATTAAACAAACTTTAATATGATTTGACCAATACCCACCTCCATTTTAGTATTAAGTTTTCTTTTACGACAACTAATTAATGTGAATAAATTATTTAATAATCATTTTTTTCCTTTTTTGTGTTTATTGTATTACTGAAAAATAAAAATCTAAACTTCTAGTTTAAGCAATAATCTCTTCTACAATTTTATAATTTTTTTAAAACTTAAATTAATTGAATAAGGGAATATAATTGAAATATCCTAAAGGAATGGGAGATAAAATTATTCCCTGCCATCTGTAATAAATTAAGAAAGAGTTAAAAGATATTTATATTACTTAATTAGTAAATTTACAAAAAGGAAAAAAAGGAAATTTCTTTGGTTTTTTAATAATAATATATTGAGGAGATATTTCTGAAGATATTTAAGATAGATGCTTAAAGGTATTGGGGCGGGACCCACTCGGTGTTGCGTGGAACCCTTTTTCAACCCTTTTCTATTTATTAATTCTCTCTCTCTCTTTTTATATTCACTTTTGGATATTTTCTCAATCAATCTATCCCACTCGCGCTCTTTAGCGCGTGTTCACATTCTCCTTTTGGATATTTTCTTTTTTTGCACGTTTTTTTACCGGGATGGTAATAATGAGATGTGACTACTCCCACCACTGTCAAATCATTTTTCTCTAATTTCCTTTTATTTTTAAATATAATTAACTAATTCTCCATATGTATATGAGAAAAAAAAAAAAAAAAATTTAATCTTAATGTTTTTTTATTTCGGTCTTGCAATTTAATGGACTTATGGAGCCTAGTTTAATAGACTAAAAAGTCAAATATTTAAATTTTAACTCTTGCTTTTTGTTGAACTAAAATGAAGTTGTATGATTGAGCCGAGTGTGCATATTTTACTCGGGCTATAAGTTTGATGATTTCACAAGCAGCTTAGTTAAAACATCTACTACTTTACGATCAAAGTATTTTTCAAATTCATTTGCGGAAATTAAAATTCAAAACTCTAACCCTTTTATTTAAGAGATTTTTTAAATCAACTAATTTATATAAAATATTATAATGTTTACTTGTTTAGAAGTTTGAAGTTTAAATTTTCGTTCAAACAAATAAACATTATCGAATGGAGAAAAACTTAGGATGCTAAATATCACCCAACTTTTGCAGTGCAACCATGTGGCTGAACTTTTTGGTGTGGAATGTCATGTTACTTTTTTTGCTTGCTTTATTTTATTTGTTATATTTTCATTTAATGAATATCATTTTATATGTATATATTCAAATATATTTATAAAAAAAAAAAGAAGCTTGAAACGTGGTACCACAATATTATGCCACGTGGATAGTTTGCAACCTGAGTGTAGCCCAGCTAGCACCCAAGTTTTGGTCTGCTCCAACGCACCTTTTTGCCTTGTGTACATCTTCTTTCCACGCGCTGTTCGCTTCGCGTGGGCCCTTCTAAAAGTCTCTCAGCTCCTCGTCCCAAAGCTACACCGATAATGGATCCTTCCAGCAGTATTTAGTCATCACTAACTCAATTTTTTTCCTTCAACCTTGGCTTGCCTTCCCCTCCTCCTCCTCTACAAGCTCCCACTCCCCTTCCAGTTCCACTTCCAACCATGGCCGAAATCAACCACCGCCGCAAATCCAAAACCAAGCCTTCAGCCACCACCACCACCACAACCACAACCACCACCAGCGACGACGGCCGACACGACGGCTTCCCTGACGAATGCGACCCCCAGGTGTGGGCCTCCTTCGACCAGACCTTCCGCCAGGTCCAGTCAGTGCTGGACCGTAACAGAGTGCTGATTCAACAGGTGAATGAGAATCACCAGTCTCGAATTCCCAGCAACATGGTGGACAACGTGGCTCTCATCCAAGAACTCAATGGGAACATCTCTAAAGTTGTCTCCATGTACTCCGATTTCTCCTCTGACTTCTCCTCTGGGTTCAATAACCACAAATCCAGAAATGGCAAAAGAGGAAGCAGCAACCCAGATGCTTGACGAAGAATTCAAGCCACAGAAACGAAGAAAATAAAAAATAAAAAATAAAAAAACAAGAACATCCGGTCATCTTCACTTCAGCGCATTGTTTTCTTTCTGTTTCATCAGCATCATTATCATCTGCATCATTATCATCATCATCGGCTAGGATAAAAGGTGGGCAGTAGGCTGTGTGGAAATGCGAGAATGAAGAACTTCTCGCAGGTGGTGCGTGTATGTGTATGCTTTGTGGTGGTGTTTTTCTCTCATTAAAAATGTGTTTCCTCTTTCAAATGTAACAGTTAATGCATGCTTCCATCATCATCATCATCATCATCATTGTCAGAGTTCATTGTCTTCTTCTTCGTTACTTACATTCTCCCAAAAGATGGGAAACTTTTCTTATCAGCAGCGGAGGATAAAACAGAACATCATATGGGAAACAAAAGTGCTTTAGTTTTTTATATAAAAATCCAGACGCTTTTGAGTTTTAAGGCCACAGAAGGAAAATTACAAAAAAATAATTCTATATTCTAAATCTTTACAGAAACACTACCTTTTTCCATGTCTTTCTATATATTGTCATATAACAAACAACAGCTACTGAGATTGATCATATAAGTTATACAAGACACAAAAGGGTGCTGCCGTGCTGTTCTTTACCCAAAATACATGAACGTTCAAACAGTAGAAAGGTGAGGATATTTTAGAAAAAAAAAAATCATTTTTTTTACTAAATATCTACTTATCAACACAAATCTTGGTATTAATTAGATATGGTAAGTGAGATATTTGAAGATATCATTCAATCAAATCTGTTGATTTTGCAGTTGGTATCTGTTTCCATAAAAGTTGTTCTAAATTCGGAATCCACAAAAGAAGATGATGTGCTTATTTTGAAAACTTTTCTGAATATGGAATCTCTAAAAGAAGATGAAGCGTGTTTGTGCTTGTGTTCATGGAAGATGCTAAAACTTCAACACCAATCTACCATTTTTAGAAGGAAAATCTTGACATTTTACAAAGATAACAGTCCATTGTATAGAAATGATAAATAATGTGAATGAGAACATTAAATGCCATTGGAATGATCAATTCTAATGTGAAGCTGATGCCTACATCTCACTAGAGAGAAAGTTGTAGGGAGAGAGGACCTTTGTTATCAACAATCTCTGTTTCCAGAACTATACTGGAAGTTCGCCACTTTCTGAAATGTAAACTTCAGTCTTTGGTTTTCCATCACCCTGACTTCCTTCGGCTTCCATCTTGAACACAACATCCATGCCCGAAACCACTTTTCCAAACACAACATGGTGCCCATCCAACCTATGAAATAAGCAAACAGATTTTGAAAAGTTCATTCCACAAGGAACTGCGTCAACCTTTCAAATGAAACATTTACCAGCTAGTTTTAACAGTCGTAATAAAGAACTGTGATCCGTTTGTGTCCTCCCCAGAGTTTGCCATTGACACAAAACCTGATAAAAAGCCAAACCATTCATTCAAGACGGGAATAGGTTCTAAAAGTAAGTTCAAATCAAATATTAGAGTCCTCAAATTCCAGTGTTCATGTTCAATCAACTGGCTGTTGAAACATTCAAGTAGTCAAGATTACCTGGACCATCATGTTTCAATTGGAAATTTTCATCTGCAAACTTTTCGCCGTATATCGACTCTCCACCTCGGCCATCTCCACGAGTAAAATCACCTCCCTGTATCATAAAACTGGGAATGATCCTATGGAATTTGCTTCCTTTGTAATGTAGAGGCTTCCCGCTCCTCCCCATTCCTTTCTCTCCTAGAACAAGATTAAACGAATTATTTATAAATTTTCAAAACATAACAATATTTTAGCAGAAAACTAAATAAATGTTTGCTGCTTCAATCAATATGAAGAGAAACCTAACTATTGAAGAGCAAAATATACTTGGCTACCCGTGCAAAGAGCGCGAAAATTCTCTGCAGAACACACATATAGAAGTTTAATCAGAGCCTTCTATAGGAATACAAAAACAGTCATCAAAGAATCATTGAACTAGCTCCTTACCTGCGGTTTTAGGGACTGTTTCTCCAAATAGGCCAATGACAATTCGTCCTGTGAGAAAGAAATTTGTTATGGAAGATCTTCAAATGAGTTGCCACTTTTGAATAAATATATGTTTCTGGTTCAAAATATAAAACAGAAGCAAATCTTAGCCATGTTTTTCTTCCTTCTTTAGGCTTGCAAGATTTCCTGACTACCCAATGTTCCTCGAGATATGAAAATTTTATTGTGATCGATCTTTGTAGTAGGAGTCATCACTCTTCACCCAACTTTTGCATTTGCCCCTAATACTCTTTTACAGGTTTCTAATTCCTCCATTAACACTGATATGGATTCTAGCAATTAGTTCACTAGACAGGATGATTCATTAAGTTTGACAATGAAATTCCATTAAGAAAACAAAATGATCTGATTGCACCCATAATTCTCCCACTCTAATCTGAGTTTTGACTAGAATTCATTACAAGGACACAGCAAAGCTCATCAAAACACATGCCCAGTCTCATACTCACTCTCATTCCACTCGAGAAACTAATGATTAACCTGACCTTACATTAGGTTTATTAAACAAAAACCCCCTCCCTAGGAAAAATTGGATCGAAAATTTTCGAACTAGTTCGCCAGTGAGAAAGTAAACAGAAATGGGCCATACCAGAGGGCTTTCCGCCGATTTCGATATCGAAGTATACTCTGTGAGTCACCGTCGTAGGATTCTTCCCCAATTTGATTTCCTATAATCAATTACAAAAGTGAGTTCTGTTTGATTGAAGAGATACACGGAGAGTGAAGAAACAGTAACTCACTTCATCGACAACCTTTTGTTCGGATGAGACACCACTATCATTTAATTGGTTCTGCGAAAAGCAAGAAAAAATCATAACGAAGAAGAACAAAGACATTTTAGAAATTGAAATTGGGAGCTCTGATCTTCTCCATTCAAGATAAATGGAAGATGGATACGGAAAATCTTACCAGAATCAAGACAATTGTAGCAATCAGAAACAAGATCCATAACCAGACCGCTGAGAATAACTTCTTCATTGTGGGCATATCTTCGAATTTTTTCTCCAAGATCGTCTCGATTTTCAGGAAACCTCCACAGTGAAGAATTTGAAATTAAAACAGTTCTGACTTTTTTTTCCTTTTTTCTTTTTAGGTGAAAACAATGCTGAATTGATAATTGTTCTTAAAAAAAACAAGGCTAAATTACCAATAAATAAATAATATCCCTTAACCTTGTTAATTAATCCTAAATATAATCTGTTTATTTTTAAAAGAAGAGTATTTATATAAAAAAAAAAAAAATAAATAAAAAGTGACTATATGGACAAGAAAATATCAAACTCAAATCATATGAGTTAAAAAATTTAGAATATTCAAAAGTATTTTTCTTTTGTTCATGGGTGTTATTGTTGTCCATTTTTTATAAATGAGTTATTCAATGTTTATGGATAATATAAGTATCAACAATATATTTTACCAAATAGAAAATCGAATTGGATTTATGTCACTGTGATACAAAGGGAGAAAAGTATTAAATCTTAGGAAATAAAACCAAAATTAATCAATAAAATAATTAAAAAAATCAAAGAAAAAACATGCTTCCTAACATCATTCATTCATATTCATTACACAGCATCATTAATTATTTTCACTTTAAATTTTTTTAAGAAATTATGGATACATTTACGTTTAGTACTCTAAATTAGAGAAAAAAAACAATAATAAACACTTTAAACATGCTGATATGGGTACGAGGGGGAGAGGTAATTGGACCCGAAAGATTAATAAAAGATGGGTATCAACATCGAGCATGTTTTATAAATAATTACAGATAAAGAACAAGGCATATAATGTATTTGACGATATCTATAATGGACATGTGTTATGTGATTGGGTCATATGCTATACTCGTTAAAATTGATATGTATTAAATACAAATTTTAAAATTTTGAATTTTTATTATTTAAAAAGTTTTTAAAGTGTATATTTTAATTAAGTGTAGCTTATAATTAAAAGGTCCAACCAACCAGATTGTATAATTGGTGAGAAATGTGGGCCATAATCTTCTCTACCATTACTCTCCTTTGGTTTCATCTTCTTCCATTTCCGTTCCCATTTCTTCTTCTTCTTCTTCTTCACAGAGCTTTCTCTCTCACTGTTTCTCTCTCGAAAACCCCCCGTCTCCCTCTAATTCTCCTCCTCCATGTCCAAGCAGACCTACAGAGTGTGCTTCTGCTTCCGCCGGCGTTTCAGGATGACCGCCAGCGAAGCCCCCAAAGAGATCAAGAACCTCTTCGACCAGTACTCCGAGAATGGGATCATGGACGCTGATCATCTGCAGAGATTCTTGATCGACGTTCAGAAGGAGGTCAAGACGACGAGGGACGACGCTCAGAACATGATTGAGCGCTGTACTAACGAGCTTAAGCATTTGAACATCTTCCATCGGAAGGCCCTCAATCTTGAAGCCTTCTTTAAGTACCTCTTCAGCGATCTCAACCCTCCTCTCGAGTCTCGTGGGGTAATTTTTTTGCCTTTCTTTTCACTCTGCTCCCTCTTCATAATTGCTTTCGATTTTTAAATTGTTTAGTTTCTTTCTGTCTGTTTTGGCTCTTTTTTTTTTTTTTTTTTGCTGTGGATGACTGGGGTTACTGTTAATTATGTGTAGAAATTAATTGATTACTGAGCCCCTCTTGTGTTCTTGCTTGTTTGAAAGAGATTCCGGATCTCTCTCTCTCTCTCTCTCTCTTTGTGCGTGTCGGTGTGTGTTTTATACATCAAATTTAATGTTTGTTTTCAGCTTTTCATGGGGTAAAGCATCTTGTTACTTTTCTGGTGGTACGAGGACAAGTTCGGTATTATGACTGAACATGGAATGGCGTATATTCTGGTTTTTCAGGTGCACCAAGATATGAGTGCTCCTTTGTCGCACTATTACATATATACAGGTCACAACTCATACTTGACTGGGAATCAGCTCAGCAGTGATTGCAGTGATGTGCCCATCATACAAGCCCTGCAGAGAGGAGTTAGAGTTATTGAATTGGATATATGGCCGAATTCGTCAAAGGATGATATAGATGTTCTTCATGGCAGGTGTTGTTTTGTATCTTCTTGCTCTTCTTTCAGTAATGGGATCTTCTGTTTTATGTGGAATCTTTGTTTTTATTGATCATTCCTAATTCGGAGATTGTTTTTCAGGACACTTACTACCCCTGTGGAGCTTATTAAATGTTTAAAATCTATTAAAGAGTATGCCTTTGTTGCATCAGAATATCCAGTTGTAATAACATTGGAAGACCATCTTCCGCCTAATCTTCAAGCTAAAGTGGCCGAGGTGCAGCAGTTTAGGTCCCCCCTCTCTTGTTTTTGTGTATGTCTATTATTAAGACCTTATAATTTTCTGAACTGTTGTAGATGGTTACAAGTACATTTCAAGACATCCTGTTCTCTCCTGGCTCTGAATGCTTGAAGGAATTTCCTTCTCCCGAATCACTGAAGAAAAGGATTATTATATCAACTAAACCACCGAAGGAGTACCTTAAGACCAAAGATGTTCCTAAGGAGGGTGAGCCACAAAAGGAAAAGACTTCTGGGGAAAATAAAGAAACACCAGCATGGGGAAGGGAAGTGTCAAGCTTGAAAGATGGTACTGTGACTGACTACAAGGTCTGTAATGTTCCCCAAGAATTTTCTCATCCTTATGCTTTTTAAACAGGTTTTGATCTAATGCTTGGTTATACATAGCAGCAAGATTTGGATGAAGATAGTAACGACGAGGACGATCCTGAGTATGGAGATCCCAAGTCTGCAGACTGTACACAGTATATTGCACCTGAATATAAAAATTTGATCGCTATTCATGCGGGAAAGCCCAAAGGGGGTATTGATGCATGCCTCAAAGTGGATCCTGAGAAAGTTAGACGTTTGAGCTTGAGTGAGCAACAACTAGAAAAGGCAGTACTTACTCATGGAAAACAGATAGTAAGGTAAGAACAAAATTTGTTCAGTCAATGACAATAGTAAATGGGCTAAGTGAACATACATTTTAATGGGCTTACATTTAGGTTGTCCAAATTCTTTTGAAGTTCTTGTGTTTATTAGAAAAGGCAGAGACAGGGTGCATAAAGCCATACACTTTTTGTTGATTGTGGAATGGAAACTCTTTGGAGTTTAAGTGCCCCAAAGTTCAGTGATTGTATAATTATATGGATGGATGTGTAGGGGTTAGGATGGGGGAGAAGTTTGGTATTTAATGTGATCTACGATAATGGAAAACTTAAAATTTCCCCATTTTTCCTTTTCCTTACAGAAGTAACATTGTTATGGAGTTCATGTCTTCATGTAGTTCATATGTTCTCTCAGGGGTTGCTCATTCTTGGGGAAAATTTTGTTATTTTTCTTGAGTTTTCTCTTCTTACTTGCTGTAGGTTTACTCAGAGGAACATTTTGAGAATCTATCCAAAGGGGACCAGGTTTGACTCATCCAATTATAACCCAATGATTGGGTGGACTCATGGTGCTCAAATGGTTGCGCTGAACATGCAGGTCATTTCATCTTCGTCTATATTGAATCAAAGATTTAGATATAGATTGTTTAATTACAAAAATTCTTGATTCATTCTTTCCCATTCCGATCTTGTTTGTCAGAAGAAGAATGTTTGAGCTCTCTAGCAGTTTGAGATGGAAGATTGGATAATATCCGACTTCTTGCTAACCTTGATAGATTAGTATCTCATGAAACTTAGAATCCCCTTCCTAAGCATTTGACTGCTAACTGAAATGGGGCCGTGTTTCATTTTTCTCTAGTTAACTTATCCAATGACTTCCAATTCTCTAAATCCCATCATTTTGTTGATTAGTTTATGTTTGTTTCTCCAATTTTCCGAACATTGAAAATTGGATGATCTGTGAATTATAACAGGGTTATGGAAGGTCCCTATGGTTGATGCATGGGATGTTCAGGGCTAATGGTGGATGTGGTTATGTAAAAAAACCAGATTTTATACTGAACCCTGGTTCAGATGATGAGATCTTTGATCCTAGAGCTAGTTTGCCTGTGAAAACAACTTTGAAAGTAAGTGCTCGCAACTCCTTTTTTCCCTCCATTTTACTGTGCTTCAGTTTCCTGTAGCCAATGTTCAATTGTAAATGTACATTCGTTTATTTTATTTCACTGTATTGACGATGTTGGTTCTATTATCTGTTGAAAAGGTGACTGTTTATATGGGGGAAGGATGGTATTATGATTTTCACCACACCCACTTTGATGTTTACTCCCCACCAGACTTTTACACAAGGGTATGTCAATGAAGTTTACAGTATTTTGATTGAATGTAGCCAAGACCTTTTGTCAATGGAAGTTAGTTTTCAGATTAAAAAAGTATAGCTGCTAAAACCTGTTGCTGCATTTGGGATCGTTTGATTATTGTTGTGTATACAGGTGGGAATTGCTGGAGTTCCAGCTGATACCATAATGAAGAAAACAAAAACATTAGAGGATAACTGGGTGCCTGCTTGGAACGAGGAGTTTGAATTTCCATTATCTGTTCCAGAACTCGCTTTACTTCGAATCGAAGTTCACGAGTACGACATGTCTGAAAAGGATGATTTCGGGGGACAGACATGCCTACCTGTTGCAGAACTAAGAAGAGGGATTCGATCAGTTCCACTCCACAACGTGAAGGGAGAGAAGTACAAATCTGTGAAGCTTCTGATGGGATTTGAATTTGTTTAACAATGAAGGAAAAGGAAGTTCCACAACATCATATAAATTATGTACAGCTTCAAAATTAGTAAGCAGCTTTTGTTCCTCTTCTCCTCCTTTAATTCTATCATTAATTATTGGTGTCATTTAGTTTCCCATTTTGTGAGAGGATCTATAAATAGCTGAGTTGAATCTATATTGTATGTAAGAAGGCTATGTTTCTGTCAGTCCATTTCCTTTTCCTCTATTTTTAATTGTATTGTCAAATAATGTTTGTATTTTATTTTATTTTTTGGGTTGGAATCGAGTGTTCAACAGAAGCCTGTTCCAGTGACACCGCACAAATTTGTCTTCTGAGATTTTAGATCATAAAAGGTTTCTTGGATTTTATTTCTGACAGATTGTATTATTATTATTTTGTTCAACTTTATTGTCAATTATCTTCTCCTTTTCTTTTGGATAAGGTAGCTCAGTTTTCCACCACTCAGCATCCAAATATTTTAGAATTATTTTTATTTTGGCTCTGCTAACCTCCAAAGGTTGTTTAAATGATAAAATGTTACATTACCAGTTTATTTTTTTAGAAAAATTAAGAATTTAAATTATTTAATAATTAAGAGAATTTAAAGTTAATATTGATGCTCCTATTTATCACATAAAATATGATTAAAGGTTGAGCGAATCCACAGATTTGATTACGACAAAATCTTGAATTTCACGAAATAATCAACCTGCGAGTAAATCTTTGTCTGAAAAGTAATTAAAAAAATGGAATGTAATAATTATAATTGAAACTGCAATTTCTTCAAACATCCTCACCACTTGACGTTACTTTTTGTTATTTTCCTAATTATTAAGTAATATAAATCACGCTTAATTATTAAATTAATATAATAGATATTAATTTTAAGTAATGGTATATTATTGAGACTAATAAGTATTTAATGTTACATCAAAGCGTCAATGAAATAGAGACTAAACGCACCATTCAAAATGCAACCATAATATAAATTGTCTTAAGCTTTATGAAAGCACGTTGATAACACCAAAATATATTTTATAAGAAGAAAGAAAAGAAAAAGGCAATAGTCTTAGGGGGTTTGAATTAAATACAAACATATTATTGGAATTGGGTGCCAAAATTTTCAAAATATTGGACCCTCTAATGCCTCCCTTTGAATTTCTTAGAGAAGAGGTTGTTCACCTGCCCTCAACATTGTCCCTTTTTTATATCTTCATTTACTATGCACCCCATTCAATGTCCACCGTCTGATTTAATGACTTTTATGACCCTTAATATCTCATCACTTAACACCCATGGAAAGGAAAATCTCCAATGCCCAATCTCAGTTCACATTCTATTTCTTCTTTTAGATTTCATTTTTGTTGATTGATCAACGTGTTCATGATCGTCCCGTAATCTCGAACCGCCGGTTCGGTCATGATCGAGTCTACTGAACAAAGATGCACAAACATAGTGATGCTTTTAAAACTAAGAGCTCAATGTTAGATGAAAAAACTCTTCCTTTTTACATCACTAAAGAATGATCAAGAACAAACAAACAATGAAGAACAGCTCAAAATTTTCTTGTGTTTGTTTGAAGAATTTTTCACTCTGAAACAATGGAAATTCCACCACTAGAGTTGCTACCAGGGCTATCATCACAGAGATTCAAAGCTCGTTCCAAATTAGCGACAACGTCGGTCATCGTTGGCCGATCTTTCCCTTCCAAATGCACGCAGTGCATCGCTGTGTAAGCCACCAGCTCCACAGCCTCTGCTTCGTTGATATGCGGTGGCCCGACTCTCCGATCCAAAATCTTCGCCAGTTCTCCAACCATAATGACAGGCACTGCATAATCGACCACGCTCACCGGTGTCCCGCCCTGTTCATCGTCTTTGAATATAGCTCTCTTCCCTGTCAAAAGCTCCAACAACACCACACCAAGCCCATACACATCACTCTTAGCAGTCAAAACATTGAGTCCATAGTACTCAGGATCAATGTAACCAACCGTCCCAGCTGCCTTGGTTGGTTGGTAGTCACAGCCTGACCCGGGACTCATTAACGACAACCCGAAATCCGACACTCTTGCTGTCCAATTTGAGTCGAGGAGAATGTTGGATGATTTGATATCTCTATGGATTATGGGAGGAACTGCATAGTTATGAAGATATTCAATACCTCTAGCTGCATCTAGACCAATTTTGATCCTCATTTTCCAAGAGTTTATAACACTGCTCCCTTTCTCAGTGTTGTTCTTGTCATGAACATGATTGTAAAGTGCACCATTTTTCATATACTCATAAACCAACAGCCGCTCATCTTTCTCCTCACAATACCCAACAAGCCTAACCAAATGCTTGTGATGAAGCCTAGACAAGAATGCCACTTCTGAATCAAAAGCACTCTCCTTCTCCTGAAACTTCTTAGTTTTCGACCCCGTTTCGCCTCTCTTTATCGCAACATCCCGACCGTCGAACAGTTTCCCCCGGTACACCACGCCGAAGCTTCCCTGCCCGATCTTGTTATCAGGGGAAAACTCATTGGTAGCCTTAGCAAGCTCAGATAGAGTGAATTCTTCTGCTTTATCCGCATGCTTCGACGATGTCCCACTCCTCTGTCTCCGCATTATCCGGGATCCCTGTCGCCGAATTGTCGACGACCTCGACACCGGGCTGTTGTTCGTATTCGATGTTGTCGAGCTAGCAGCTCTAGTGATGGTGGGCTGAACAGAGTTATGTATCTTCTTATGCTTAAAACAAACACCAGTCCATAAACAGTAAAGAACAGTACAAATCCCAGCAAATGCCCCAACAGAGCCCACAATAGCAAATGCCAACAAACCCCTTTTCAAACCCGCCGAAGGAGATGATGGGGCCGCCACCGTTGGCGGCGGAGACGGTGGAGGCGACGGCAGCGGCGTTGAAACATTAAACAAACAGCGACCACAAACATTCCCAGAACCAGAACAGAGCGTTTGAGACAGAGGATAAACCCCACAATCACTACAAGAAGATTGAACACAAGAACCAGGAAGAATCTTAGGAAGAGAAAGTGAAGAATCATTGGACCAACCAGGCCCCCAACAAAGAACAGAGAAATTACTCGTCGTTAAACCACAAACAAAATCCGATCCAGAAGAAATTAACTCAAAAGAAGTTTCTCGAATCGAATCAACAGAGAATCTCAAATCACCACTCCAACAGACCACCGATCGATTCGAGACCAAAATCCCACAGCTATGGCGTTCACCGAGTGCCAATTCAGAGAACTCCATGGCTAAACTTGAAGGAAAATCCAGCTGCCCAAAATCGTTGTTCCCTTTACAAACCAACCCACCGGAGATATTCAATCCACAAGCATGAGACCCGCCGGCGACGATGGTCGCCATTGAAATATTTCTAAACCCATTTTCGATTACGTTTGCAATCGACGAATTTCGACCCCAACATCGTACGAATTGATTATTGCCCTTCAAAATTCCGCAAGAAAATCCGTACCCAGAAGAGATTGAATCGAATTGAAGAGAAGAAAATCCAACTTTAGCTTTGTTACCTTCTCGCCAGCAAGTTACATTGCCGGCGCCGACAGCCGTGGCACAGATTTGTTCGTCGCCGACCGCGAGATTCTCGAGAAAAATGGAGGTGTTGTTATAGATTCTTCTCCAGGGAAACGCGGCGGTGGATGAGTCGAAGTCCCAGCAAATGAGGATATCGCCGCTAGACCTTATACCGCAGAAGATATTCCGGCCGCCGGAGACGGCAGAAAAGGAGAAATGAGGTTCAATAAAAATAGTTTGACCGTCACGGAAGCACAAAATCCTTTGGGTCGGCTGCTCGGCGACGATGCCACAAACGGTTCTGGAGGCGTAACTGACGGCAAGGGTGGAGGCAGAACCGAGAGCTTGAATCGCCGGGAACAGCGGGAAAACGACGGCGATGAGGATGAGGACGGCGGCGACTGTCGGAGAGGGTAATTTCGTCATTTAAAAGAGGAGAGAGAGAGAAAAGGGAGGTTTTGTTGGGGTGTGGTCTGCTGTACTTCATTGGGAGTTGCAGCCATGAACAGAGGAGAGAGAAAAGGAAAGATCCAAGTTAAGAGAGAGAGAGGGAGAGATAAAGGGAATCAAGAGGGCCTATGTTTATAGTGAGAAAAGACCAAAAAAGAATGAAATTTCAGAGAAAGAAGGAGAGAGAAAGAATTTCTGGTTTTTCTCCATTTTCACCGGAGACGGAAGCTCTTAAACACCGTGTTTGGCAGCCGTTTTACTTTAATACGTTTTACATTTCTCTTTTCTTTTTTAATCCTTTTTTTCTATTTACTTTTTTTAATTAATTTATTTTCTTAAATTAGTTAATTATCCCATGATTCAAAATTTAATCACAATCTTCTATTATATATTATTATTATTATTATTTATTAGGCTACAAAAATTTTATGAATTTTTTTAACTTAAAGTTCCATCTCCTCCATGTTATTAAAACATATAAAATTCTTTATTATAAAGAAAAGAAAAGAAAAAAAAAAAACATCACATGATCTGAATTTATTACATTTTTTTAATTACATGCTCTAATAACATATTTATAGGCATCCAATTTTCCCCCCTTAATTGCATTGACATTAGATCGTACAGATAATTTAAAATATTAAAAAAAGACTTGGAAATTATTTTTTTAGTACCAAAAAATAAAATAAATCATATTAAGGAATTAATTACGCCAGCTACGCATTAAATTAAAAATCAATTCTCAATATTAAATTAATACGCTTTAAATTCTTCATAATTACAATTACTTATAACGCAGAATTTCTTTTGCGAATTTATTGTATTCATTCTATTTTAATTTAAAAAAAAAAACAAATAATTTATATCTTTAAATTAAAACTTTAAAATAATAATTATATAATTATAATTTTTTTAAACACTTTTTAAATGTTTAAGTTAAATTTATAATATAAAATATTATATAAAACTTAATGGATAATAATATATTAAATTAACTAGTAATTCAACTGTAATAAATTACTAATAGTTCCAATTTTCGTGGAAGGGATAATAAATTAATAATGGTTGATATGTTACGTATTTCTAATTAATCGGTACTTTTAATACATCAATTAAATTATTGTACCATTTATGCCATCAAAATTTCCATTCATTTTTTCTAAATTTTTTCGTAACGTGAGAAATTGGTTCATCAATAAAATATGTCTAAGTCTAATTTGAAAATCAATACGTTCTTGGTCTAGGTCGGTTCATTATCAATCTACATCAATATATTAATAGAAACAAATAACGTTGATGATTAAAAAACTATATTTTAAAGTTGAGACATGAAAATATATAGTCATAACCATATTTAAATATTTGATTGAGTTGAGTTGTGGATTAGATTCAGAATTGAAAACAAATTGAAAGCATGGGAACCCACAAGGTGTGAAGTGGTCAAAAGAATTAAATAGGATCACAAATGGAGGGGCAGGCATGTTGTTTGGAAAGCAAGAAAATGGAAAAGAAAATGATTTTGTTTTGAGTGTTTGAATTGTAAGCATTAGAAGATGAAGACTTTGGTCAATTTCTCCATTTCTCATATCTAAATTGCTCCAATTTTCACTCCATTTTTCCTTTTCATCAAATTTAATTTTTATTTTCAATTCTTCAATTTTTGATGTCACTCATTTGTTTGATATTATATATTTATTTATTTTTTGAGACGTGACCTAATTTGTTTTCTAAAATTTAATAAATCTTGATTCTAATATTTATATTTTAAAAATAAAAAGTGAAAATTTTGAAAACATACATTTTTTAGGGGAAAAAAAAAACAGCGTAACATAATTAATAAATTAATAAATTTTTAATTAAAATCCCAGCCACAAATAGCTTGGATTTGATGGGGGAAAATAAATATTTTGATTATTTTGGTTAGAAATAAATAAATAAATAATTAATTAAAGGTTGTGAGGACAATCATGGCTGTTTGAGAAGAGGAGAACATTATCTATACATTCCAACTATAATTATTTATGTTAATTAATTCTTCACCAACCCATTACCTTTTTGTCTTGGGTTTAGATATCATTTTCTTAATAATAATAATAATAATAATAATAAGAATAATAAATTATATTATTTTTATTTATTTAGGCGTGTATCACCATATTTATTTATTTATTTATTTATCGTCGGTGGAGGTACCTAGCTTTTATGATTGATTTATGCTCAAATGGATAGTTTGCGTATAAATTTGTGTTCAAAGGGTTTTTTTTATCTAAAATATTACTTGCAAAAATATTTTCTCATGTGTCAAAAAAATATCATAGTTAAGATAAACAATCATGGAGAGTAGATGGTTTGATGTTTTTTTATCGATTCAAATTTAAAAATGGTTTGATAACTATTTAATATTTAATATTTTTTATTTTTAAATATTAAGTTTATAAACACTGCTTTATACTTATAAATTAAGTAGGAATTCAAAAATATTATTTAAAAAATATAAAAAATATAATAGGAATTTTGAAAAGAAATAAGCATATGAGGAGACCAAAACAAAACAATGTTGGAAATTGGTGTGTGAATGATGGGTTTAAAGGAGAGACAAAGGTGTAAAGGGGTGAAGTTGGTGAAGTTGGCGAAGTTCCCTAAACCCTAAAATATTGGACCAAAAGTATTGCATTCAACATGGTGTGCCCCTCCTTTGTTTCCACTTTGCTTTGCCTCATTACTCACTTTTTGTTGTTCCAAACTCAATGCCTCCACACCACTTTCTTTTTCTTCATGCTTCGTTTCAAATTCAGATTCCTTTCTCCTTTTACTTTTAAAGCATTTAAAGACCAATTCTATGATGGAACCCTCACTTTTACGACTATGTAATGTTACTATTTGTCAATATCTAAACTTCTAAACAAGAAAAAATCAATCTCGACCATTTTGGACAAATTTGTATTATTTATTTATTAATTTTATAAGTCGACAACTACAAAACCTCCTTCCATCGATCCAATGTAACATCTCAAAATAAAGTCAACTCAAGGAAGCATTCGAAGTTGAAAGAATGGAACGGGTCTTCGTAGGTCAAGTCCTATCCTTTTATTTTAGTCATTCATTGACTCATCCCATCAATGTTAAGAAAAAAGATAGTAGAATTGGTCATTAAAACTTTTTGTTTTTGTTGGGAGGGAGTTTTTGATTGAAAATTCAAATCTTTGGACTTTTCAATTATATAACCACTAGGGACTACCCAAGTCTCTTCTTATAACCCAAAATCCTCCAAATCAACCAGTAGGATTGGGACCCAAATTCAAGAAACAGGGTTTAGTCACCAATAACATCAGAGAAGAGTATACTTTTGCTTTAAACCAACATATATATTATATATATATCATCGTATGAGATTATGACGTTGCTAGAGAAGCTCGGAGTTTGTGTCGTGGGTAGTAAAAACAACTTCCAAGAGCCTCCAAGAAACTCTTAAAGTAGTTCTTGAGCTATTTTATCTTTAACAAGCAGCTTAAAAATTAAAATGGTTCTCAAGCTATAGTTCAAAACAACTTCCAAGAAACCCTTCGTGCCAATAATAGATATCCACTAATATTTTGAAGAAACCACAACGGTTAAAGCAAACGAAGGAGGAGAAACTCCTGATGTTTATTGGTAAAAGTTAAAGAAAATCCTACAAACATATCCAACAACATTGCATGGATAAGTTACAAATCAGAATTCCTACAAATTTACAATTTTAATACTATATACTAATTTCAAACATTTGGATGTTTATCTATGATGTACAATATAAAGCTATACAAAAGCTCAAGAATCAAAATCTGACTCATGAAGGTGCTGCCCTTAGAACAAGCTAACTGTGCTAACTGTTGACATGGTGCAGAGAATAATATACCTTTTTTCTTGCACAAATCTTCATTTAACTTAGGTTGGAATTCCATGCTTCTGAAACCATTCGGGCATATGAAATCTTTCATACAGCACCGGCCTGACGTCGTTCTGCAGCGAGAGGTGCTTTAGAAGTGGAAGAATGACATCTAGGAGCTGTATATGGAGAACAAGCAACAGAAAAAAATTGGTCACAATTTGAAATATTGTCAAGATGCACTACTGTTGCTGGAAGATCCAGAATTTTCAAGATTTCCCACCTGTGAATCGTGTGGTTGCCCTGCAGAAAATGAAATGCAAGGAATTCCATTCAGAGGTTGCAATAAAAAACTGAAAGGATTGTTGTCAACGATGACTATTCTTCTTAGATCCTTTGATAGGCCGGAGAGATCCTTCACGTGATCTCCGTATTCCCTGTAGATTATATAGCGAACACAGATTTTTTACGAGGAGAAAACAATTAATGGTTTATACTTTTTTTAGAAGGTTTATCAGGTTTCATCCATCCAATATTTGAAATCCTTTCCAGAAATGAGTAGGTTTGCGTAACATTATCCAGAACAAAATTATGACACTTGAAACATTCAAACTGAAATATGGACTCAAGTAGAATCAAAGTGGGTTTGGGATTGATTTTGAAAGAAGTAAAATCACTTTTGCCCTGTTTTAAATTACACTAAAACGTGTTTTTAATCCTTCAAAATCAATTATGATGATATAAATATTATGTTTATAAGTGTAAAATCAAACCAAAATCATAGCCTGCAGCATCAATAAATAATGAACTTTGGGATAAAAAAACAAGTTAATAAGTTCTACTCAAACTCCTGAATGATTCAAACTTGTTTTTGGAAAGGGCCAGTTAGATTCCTTGAGATTCGATAACTCTAGTAGTATTATATCTTTATTGTCTAGAAGCTTAATGGCTGAAACTCTGCCGGACCCAAATAGAAATTAAAGTAGAACAAAATAGCAGAAACAGTACTTACGTGCTAATAGTTGAAGGCCTATACAGCCGAAGACTAAATAGATTTTCTTCATCTACCCTATCAACAAGAGGCCTTGCATACCCTGAGGCATATACATAAATGGAATCCTTCAGATTCGATGACTTTTTCCGTTCATGGGTAATAGAGGGTCATTATTTGATCATATGATGGATAGTAGAGTGTACAAACCTTCAAGACCAGCTGTGAAGAGTACAAGATTTGCGAATACACTTAGTTGGTTTAAGAAATCGTGCAGACCCGGACGCTCAAAGACAGTAACATAGTTGACCTTAGGCTTCCCTTCACAGTCCTTCAAATAGGAGAATAACCAGGAAAGATCGTTAAACTAAAACTCAGAAAAATGAAACAGTACAAGGCTCCTGAAAAGGAAAATACCTCGTCTGAAGAAAAGCACTCGAGTTCAAAAAACTTCAGTCCAGCTTCGATGGCCTGATTGCGAATAACAGCAGGCAAGGTAGATGTCTCGTATGAACATACGAGAGTTTCATCCAAGTCAAGAACTATCTGTAATTGTCCAATGTCAGATGTGGAATCTAGAAAGGAAGGCACAATGGGGACAAAAGAATAAGAGAAATTCCAGGAAACATGAATGATTCCCCCCCCACCCAATAGAGAAAAAAAGCACAATCCTTCGTGCGCCTTTATGGAAATGAATGTAAATTTTTTAACCATTTGAACTTCACACAGAATCTCCACAAACTTCTAACACAATAAGTTCTACAGAGCACTGGAAAACATTTTAAGACAAATCATTATTCACAACGTTCAGTTCTGAAATGAAAGAACATAGTTCCTTCAAATTGCGATAAGCATTCACAGAAAGTTCCAGGGCTAGATTCTTTCATCTAATAAATGAATCGTCAGCATGCAAGACAGCAGAACCATAGGCAATGAAGTTGAAGCTTTCCTGTCCCTATTTTAATCAAGAAACAGCACATCTCAATCTTCTCACACAGACAAAGGCCAGGCCTGGTTAAACACTACTCCAAATCTCAGAAAGATTAATCAAACTTATACATATATCGAAACCATTGAGATAAACTCATAGAAAAAGGAGAATGCAAGACCCAATGATCACAAAATTGCGCAAACCCAAGCAGCACAATCATACCACAGTCTCAAGAAAAATCTAACACAAATTGAAACCAAACACAAACACGTCGCAGAACACTCGATTTTCAGCAAACAATTTCGGGGGGAAAACCACAATCATAACGAGTAATCAAGAAGAAAAATAACAATACCGTCAGTTTCTCCATAAGCCCAACGGACTCCTTCTCGCCTTCAACGGAGTCGATATCAACGGTGGAGTCGGCCAGCAACTCCTGGTCAGGAAGTTCAACGACCGGCAAAGGCTTAAAAGACGGAGACGAAGAATCAGAAGAAAGAAGCCGAAGGTGTTCAAAAGCTCTGAGGATTCGAACGAAGATCTGAAAGAAGAGAGCCAACCAGTTCAACAACGTCTTCCACACCTGCAGAGCCGTGGGCCAATAGACCTCCGGCTGAGTCAACTCAGCCATAGGTTGTCGGAGCCGCCTCTCCAACGGCCAAAAGGCACCGATAGAGGTGTCCCCCTGCGATGTACAATAAAACCAGTCGGCTTCCGAGTATTCCTCTCTATGACGGTGTACAGAAAAATGGCTCCGGCAGCGGCGGCGGAGGAGGAAAGTGGAAGCACGGCGAGGAAGAGAGTTGGAGAGTTCTAAAAAGGAGGTAAAAGTGAGCGCGTGTTAAGAACAATGGAAAGTGAAAGAATGCGCCAATAAGGAAAGACAATTCTGGCGCTCTTTTAAAACCATGCCATTGCTAGTTATTGATGATAACAGAGATTTAATTCGGTACTTCCGATACCACTTGAAACCCATAAATTTAGTAATTATAAACTCATTTTGTTAATTATTTGTAATACTTTTGTTAGAGTTCTAAAGTTCACAATCTATCATTCCCACCAAACCTTCTCCGGGTTCTAAAAATAAAATAACAGCGGATTTAAATATATTTAATGGGCTCCTAAAATATCATGATTCATTGTGGGTGGAACCATATACTGTCTCACCGTGCTTAGCGAATAAGCTATGTTAGGTCATGTTATTATGAGACCAAATTGTATACATTAAAATTGAATTAACTTCATTTATAATGTGTATAAAATTAAAAAAATTGGTTAGGTTACAAAAATTTCATATATTAAAAAAAAATGTATGGAGGTTGGGAAAGATAAAGCATTATTAATAGCATGTCGGAGAAGGAAAATCTGCGTTAATTGGAGTTTAGAGAGTTAAAAGTAGATTGCCAATTATAAATAGCGTGGGATCAAGCCAAACCCGAAAGCCGTACAAAAGGTTCGCACAAAAGGTTCCAAGTTTATCGATGCTGGTCACTGGGCAGTGATCACTACGATCTCTTCGACTTCTGCAATTTACTCGATCAATTAAATGGCGTCAATCTCTTCCAGCCTTCGCACTGTCGAAGATATCTTCAAGGATTACAACGCTCGACGCACAGGCCTTGTGCGAGCCCTCACTTATGGTGATATTCATTCTCGATCGATCTTTCTCTTGCTTCTCACCATAAGCTTTTGATGGGCCCTTTTTTGTGAATGTGTTTGTCGAATTGGGTCATGATTTTGATCTCCCATTTGCTTCTTTTCTTACAGATGTTGATATGTTCTACTCGCTTTGCGATCCTGGTGAGTGTTCGGTTCTTTTGATCTTGATTTTGTTTTTTTGTTTTTTCCGGTTGACCGGAGAATCGAGGGGGAAACATAGTCTTGTTACGGGGAGGATCTTGTTTTGCTTTTGTAGAAATAGTTATTTGTCTTTTCATTTTGTTCTGCCATGCTTTTTTGACGAGCGTTTGATGGGGGCATTACTCAAAATTAGTGAGAAAAACTTGCGGTTTTGTGCGCCTTTTGACCTAATTTTGGGGTTTGTTCTTTATGGTGATTTTTTTTTTTTTTTTTTTTTTTTTTTTTTTTTTTTTTTTTTTTTTTTTTTTTTTTTTTTTTTTTTGTTCTTCGCTTTCAGAGAAGGAGAATCTGTGTTTGTATGGACATCCGGATGAGTCTTGGGAGGTGACTTTGCCTGCCGAGGAAGTTCCATCCGAGCTCCCTGAGCCCGCGTTGGGGATCAATTTTGCAAGAGATGGGATGAAGCGCAGAGACTGGCTTTCGCTGGTGGCTGTGCACAGCGATTGTTGGTTGCTTTCAGTGGCGTTCTATTTTGGTGCTCGACTCAACCGCAATGAGCGGTAAGTTATATAACTTCCAGAATATAGGAATATCTACTGGATCTTGAATTCACGATGAAGCATGTGGGATTGTTTGTGATCTCTTGTTTAAAAAAATTCTCTCTCACATCCTTCTGCACTGGTACAATGTGTATAGCACTCATGCATTCCAATTAAATGCACCTTCTTGGGTATGTTTGTTATCCTAATTTGTTTGATGACTAGGGCCCATCTACTTGGATTTGATCTCTTATTCTGTTGTGGTATACTGTCAGTTAGGAAAGTGGAGAAGATCATGTTCTTCTCGCCATTGTAATGAAAATCTCTTATATGGTTGCATTATGCGTATAGTTAAGAATTTGGCCACAGAATCACCTATGTTAACTGTTACAAACATGCAGTCTTTCCTTCCAATTTGCTTCACTTCTTCCTTTTCTTGCTTTTTCTCTGAGTGTGTATGCAGCTGTCTCTAACATTCATAAATCATAGCTGAAACTTTCTTTTGTAGGTCACGAAAAACTGCTATTTGAATGTGTATTTGGTAGGGTATTGGTTTTTTTGTTGACCTCATTATCACAAGCTGTAAAATGCTCTTCATAATAACAAGCTATAACATGCTCTTCAAAATAGATGTTTCTTCTAGTTTAATTTTTTAATAAGAAATAGTGGATCATTTTTTGCGGATGGTATGCTTTTTGGGCCCATGGCTTCACACTTGTAGCTTCCCTACCGAGTGTTCTATTTGCCTTGTGGCTAGTTATTTTTGGGTTCACGAAGGCTTCATACTTGTGGCTAGTTACTTTAGGGCTCATGAATACATACTTGTGGCTAGTTATTTTTGGGCTGGATGCATGCGTCTCTCATTGCCAACGACCTCAGTAAGAGGAGAAAGGGTGTTGCAACCAAGGTTAATCTTTAAATAGTTGACGTGGACCATGATGGATTGAGATGTCCTAGGTGCGATTCCTTTTGTGAAGAGCTTTGAACATTGTTGGAGAAAATGTATTGGGGAATGAATCATTAGTATAAATTATTTTATTGTCATCAACAACAAACCTAGAGACAAAATGCTTTTAGGGCCTTAAGACAGGCTGGCCCACTCTCCCCCCATCCCTAGTCACTCAGAATTTACTTACTAAGATTCTGGTTCAGAAAGAGAGTTTCTCGAGAGAGGTTGTCATTGGCTGACTTCACAGAAGTCTTCTCAGTTTTGTTATGGGTCCAAATCTTTTCTTCCTTGACTTCACAGAGAAGAGTAATTATAGAACAGGTTGAAGAGGTTTAGGGTATGCAAGGAATTAACTAAAATGGTGGAGTTATCCAACTGTCTTCCCAGAAATGAATCTTACTTCCATTATCCACATTTGAAGTTAATAGTCGAGGAGGGCTTCTTTGTCCTTGAGTATCCCCTCCACAACTATTAGCCTTCAACTATTTTTTTTTTCCCTGAAAACTGCCGGCTATTCGTTGGGACCAAGCCAAATAATAAGGATTACATTTCTCCCTAAGGCATATTTTTCTTGTGAAGTTTCCTTCCATTATCGAGAACCATTTCATAAGGAGTGCTCTTTTTCTATGCAAGAGCACCCCCACTCTGAGTCCTATCTCACTTCATTTAACCAGATGCCTACACAACTTATAGATACCTCCCTTCCAATGAACCCTCTAATCATCTTCTCCATGCTAGAGATAATCTTTTTGGGAGCTCTTGAGAGGTAGAAATAATATATAGGACAGTTGTTCAACAATAATTGACCCAGAATTTTGGGAACCAGGCATAAGAAGAGTTTATAAGATGCTTGCATCTTGGAAGAAAAGTTTTTTCTCAAAACGTGATAGACATACTCTCTTTCCATCAGTCTTGAGCAACATCTTGATCTATTTTATGCCTCTATTTAGAGTTCTTTGTGCGGTTAGCGAAGTCTTAGAGATTCTTATAAGGGATTTCTTTTGGTAGGGTATTGATGAGGTGAAAGTTCTCCTCTTGTGAGGTGGTGTATGCCGTTGGACCTTGGTGGGTCAGCAAGAAACTCATGGAAAGATATTTCTGTTGAGCATCTTGTACTTTCTCAATTTGTTTCTTTGGAAGGATAACTGGTGAGGGAAAGACCCTTTACCCTACCATTCCCTTTCTTCGTCCAAGAACTCTCTTCTTTGTTGGGGATTCACTTTCCTTTGTTCAATCAGTAAACTGCAGATGTTTTGGCTTTCTGATATTAGATTGGAGTCCTTGTTTGCCGAAGGCTTTTTCTGCACTTCCTTCTTTCACTGTTTGGTTAGTCTCTCTTTGTCAAGGGTTTCTAATTATTCTTAAGTGTGGAAGGTGAGAATTCTCAAGAATTCTTTGTCAAGGGTTTCTGATTATTCTTAAGTTTGGAAGGTGAGAATTCTCAAGAATTCTTTGTCGAGGGTTTCTAATTATTCTTAAGTGTGGAAGGTGAGAATTCTCAAGAAGGTTAAGTTCTTTGTGTTGTAGGTTATACATAAAACAATTTACACCTTGGATTATATTTTGGGTAAGGTGTCCAATTTGGGAGGTTGCTTTGTTGTGTTGTGTGCAAGAGAGCGGCCGAGCAACTCAATCATATTTTTTAGAGATGTGATTTCAAAGGAGCAATTTGGAGTTACGTCTTCATAGATTATCAAGGAGTTTCTTCTCCACCCCCTGGTGATAAAGGATCATGTTTCTGCTGTGTTGAGGATTGTGCTATTTTGTGGGTGTCTTTTGGGTGTGAGGAATAATTGAATCTTCGTAGAGTTGGAGACATTGCTAGGTTTTGTTTAATTCCTTGTTAGATTTCATGATACTCTTTGGGCTTTGATTACAAACTTATTTTGTAATTATTGTTCAAGTCTTATTTCTCTAGATTGGAGTTCCTTCTTATTATTAGGCTCCTTTTTGTGGGGTCTTTTTTTGTGTTCCCTTGTTTTCTTCTAGTTTTTCCAAATGAATGTTTGGTTTATCATTAAAAAAGGGCGGATCGTCTTTTCTAATTTGACTTGAAACCTGTCCTACAAAGGTTCCCAGAAGTTGCTGGAGAGTGCACCTTGTAGAAGCAAAGGTTTCCCAGTCCCATAAGCCCGTGAAGATGGGGTCTTCAAAACCTTGAAAACTATTTGGTTCCTCTTAAACCAAATCCTCCCTGAAGTCCTTCTTCTGGATTGATCCATACAACTAGGCTCGCCCCTTGAAAGGAGAACCATCCAGGTGCTGGAGCACCGCATCTTGTAGCCAAAAGTGAAAGACCAACATAAACTGAAAGTGAGCCCCATCCGTTCTAACCAACATCACATTTGTTACACTCATCACTCCCTTTGCACACTTCTTACATACACTAGTTGTTGGTAGTGGTCCTGGACTCTCGAGCCTCTTTCCTTGGAGAGTTTAAAACCTCTGCTCCAAAAAGTTTTTTGTTTCCTTCCATCTTCACCTCCTGAAAATGGCAATAATTCCCTTAACCAACAAAACATCTCTCGTCTTTAGCATCTAAAAACATAATGTTTGCAAGATGATTTCCTTAAATTTATATGGCCAAATGAAGCTTACTCTAAGCAGGCAACCTTCTTGTGAACTGGCACTATGAAAATAAATGGGGGGCTGATTCTAATTCCACCTTACAGAACACATGCCCGTTGGAAATGAAACTTTCTTCTTTGAAAGAGATTGCTTGTTTCCATCTCTTGTAGGACATTTACAATAATGAAATCATTTCTCAGTAGCTTTGATCTCCAAATCAACATAAGAGAACCAGACTTTCCACTAGATGTCTCTATCCATCAAACTTGGTACAAACTTCTGACACCGAAAATCCTTGTCTGATGTGAACCATGTAGTGAAATTTGAAGTCTTTGTGCCTTGATCATCGTGGTCACGTTGATGACCCTGACTTAATGTAGTCAAGGACTAGTGGGTAAGGCTAATGAAGAAGAAAATAAGAAAACATGAAGCATCATCATGTATAACATAATCATGATAATAGTATTTCATTGTTCCTTAATACTTCTTTTCGATATTAAAACTTTGCCTACGTGTCCATCAATGTCTTATTCACTAAACCTTGTGTCAAAGCTTCAAGAGACATAAATTTTGCTCTTACTATTGACTTTCTACCTAGTTGCCTGCCTATTCCTGGGCTCTCCCTGTATTTCCTACACCAACATATAATGCAAGGAAATGTCTGCCTGAAGTTTGTTTTTATTTAAATTATTCTTTTTCTGTTTTCGATGGATAATTGCTATTCTAAATTTTTTTATTACTGTTAATTACAGGAACTTTATTTGTTAAGTGGATATTAAGTGTAGCAATCGATAGGACCTTTCCTACAATGTACAGATTGGGTCTATCTTGATTAAGTTTAATTATCTCTCATTTTTTGGGTGGTCATATTAAGCTTCTGGTAAAAGTGAAGGGTGAAAGCTGTAGTTGACAGAAAAGGCTTTTGTTTGTCTGAGAGGACATATATTTTGTGATGTTTGTGGTCTGCAGTTTTGTGGTCATCAAATACGAAACATTTCATTATAGAAAAGGGGAGATGCCTCTCTTGTTAAATGAAATATAAAACAATCCAGGATGAGTGGACAATAATTATGTTTTTAGTATGTAATCATTTATTTTTCAAAAGATTTTCCTTATGAAATCGATAAATTCCAAGTCCTTTCTAAGGAGAAAAAAAAAAAAAGTTGTATCATGCCTAGACCTCCATTTGTGCTTCACTAACGGTTTAGAAAAAGATGTATAATTAGGGCATTCTCAGGGGAGACAAATAACACATTGTTTCTAATAGGCAAGGTGAATCTTAACAGTAAGAAGTGTGAATGTATAGGGCACGTTTATGATGAGAGTAGACATGTAAATAAGAAAGGGGAATAGGGAGTGTGTGTCCGTGAGCTTTTCAGCAAGTGCTGTTAGTAAGAGTTTGTGAGGCATGGGCCGACCATTTTGTAGTACCGTGAGGAGTTACAGAGGAGAAAAAGAGGAGTGAGAATGGCAAGGAAATAGTCGGCTGTTTTGGGGAGGAAGTGAACCTCTTGAAAATTTTGATAGTTTGTGATTTTGGTTTCTACTGTATTTGCTTTGATATTTCATGCAAGAATTCTATCAGTTTAAACTGTCGCTATGTGTACGAGAGAATGTTCATTTTTCTTTTAGCTCAAGCTCATGTAAGAGCATAGATTTTAGGCTAGTGTTCTAGCACATTTGTGGTTTGCCCTGTTAAAATTTTGTACTATAGTAGTTCAACAGCTTTATTCGAACTCACGCTCTGATTCATTGTGTTCTCTTTCATTGCGGTGATTGTTTCCATTTCATTGAAGTTTAACTATAAATAGTTCCAATCTTTGGTGCTCTTTATTTTTGTGGATAAAATATTTTATTTCATTGAACCAACTAAATATTTGTCTGTAAACGAGTGTAGAGCATTGCATATTTCCAGGCAATTTAACATAACCTTGATCTACGTGACTTTTTAGCAGAAGAGAGCCTGAACTTCATTGTTACTTTCTTTTGTCGTCCATGTGACCAGCACAGAACAATTTCTTTGATCTAATAGTATAAAAATTGTGGTCTCGTCTTTCCACAGGAAGCGGCTGTTTAGTATGATTAATGATCTACCCACTCTATTTGAAGTTGCGTCTGGAAGGAAAGCTGTTAAAGACAAACCCAGTATGGATAGTGGAAGTAAATCCAGAAACAGCACAAAGGTGAAGTGCTGCGATATTTATTTTATGCCTTTTCCTTTGACTGAGAAGTTTAGGATAGATAGCAACCAATTTTTCTCTTGCAGAGATCACTGGACGGGTCGATTAGAAACAGCAATCCAAAGCTACTGGATGAGAGTTATGGAGAGGAGGAGGACGAGCATGGTGATACTCTGTGTGGGAGCTGTGGAGGGAACTACAACGCAGATGAGTTTTGGATTGGATGTGACATATGCGAGAGGTGGTTCCATGGAAAATGTGTGAGGATAACACCAGCCAAGGCAGACAATATCAAGCAATACAAATGCCCCTCTTGCAGCACAAAGAGAGGAAGACAGTAGCGCGCCGAGACAGACACCATCATGTAAAGCACACATTTTGTGGGAGTTAACCTTTATGTCTTGGAAAAAACTGTTGGTAGGGGATTTACTTGTGATGAGGGTTTATAGGGTGGGTTATAAAGTTAACACTCTAACGGATACGTAAGCATGAGTTGAAGCTAGTTTTCTTTTCTTTCGTTCGTTTTTTTATTCATACATGTTCCTCCTCGTATAGTTTGGTGTTTGAAGATTGATTGATCTTTCCTTCGTTTTAATGATATGAATGAAATGATATGATCATTCATGTTAGACTTTTACTCGTGGGACTTCATCATAAAGGGTATTATCTTATCCTTATTAGTAGATAGAAAGCTAAGGCTACAAATTTTCATTCTAGATTTTCAGTGATCCTTTTAACAAATTCTAAATTTAGGATGTGGACATACATAATAGGCCAAACCCCAATTATTCACATGCTGAATAAGAATGTAGTCCTTGTTTATGAATATCTATTTTATTTCGAAACCGAAAGAAATTATACCTCGGTAAATTATCGGTTGAGGTTTTTTTTGTCAAATCACACCAACTGAAGCAAAGTTGGTGTAAAAACTTTAAAAATGTTATTGAATTCTCTCACATTGTGATTGAGGTATTATTTTAAGTGGACAACAAAAAGGCTTGATGAGGAAACATGGTTACTATTGAACCTTTTAGGGTTTGTCACCATTTGTTGAAACTCCAATTGTTGTCCTTTCAATTTGAATCAGTATTTTTCTTTTTTGTTGGCTTATATCAGTTTTGTGTGTATTATTGGGATACCTTTGGGTAGAACCCAAATGTGAAAAACATTACAAAAAGAAAGATGCTTTCTTGTTTGATATGTTAAAATTGACATGACATGCCATGCCATGCCATGCCTTCTCCTCTCCTCAAATGCTGAAATATGGTCCTTCCTCAGGGTTAACAACACTTAATGCCGTCGACAGATTTGAGTTTCACTCAATGAATAAGACATCAATTACTTGTTTCAAAGATTAATGATGGTTCGATCCTAAAATTAACTACAAAGAGACAACATTTAATTGTTGTTTGTGTTAAGGTATTGATATAAGATTTTTAAATTGAGTGGTGACGTCGGATACCCATCTAACTAAATAAGACATGTAATGTACCTTCACAAGGAGTGACCCATGGTTAGGTTGCCTTTTTAGTATTTTCATAGTCGAAAGCTAACACACATATCGTGACAAACAACTTGATAGATTAAAATTCATATATGTCCTTGAAATAGTAGATTAAAGTTGTCCAAAATTTTTTCTAACAAAACTTGCTTTAACCCATTACCTATTATGTTTAGTTTCCTTCTCTAATCAATATGAGATCGTGCAATTATTATTTATTAAATATTTAATTAAAAGACTAAAAAGGAGAAAAAAGAAAAGGTGCAGAAGCTTCATGAAAAAAGCAGAAAAAGACAGAAATGTACAGACGGGGCGTGGGGATTGAAAAGTACAAAGCAAAGGCAAGTGGGGATTGGAAGGGAAATTCCATTCAATTTAATCCAAACAAAACAAAACACACCACACATCGATTTCAACAAGTTTCTCCATACATTTTAAACGTGCTCTTTCTTTCTTTGTTTTTTTCCCATGATGTCTTGTGGCATTTGACCATATGTTTCCATTATCCTCGTCCTCATCTAATCTTTTCAATTATAAATTTCGAAATACGTTTCGATTAGCTTTTAAGATCTTCAAATTTGTTTCAAAAGACACGTTTTAAGAGCTTTTCAATTCGTTAGAATTCGTGACTAAAAGTAACGAGGCAACTCATGCTTAAAAATTGAAAACGTGCTTCACATCATTTAAAATATCATTTTCATCTATACGTTTTATTTTAAGTTAGTTTCTAAACATTAAAAAAATATCTAATAATTTTGTATATAATAGATATATGACCATTTTTGTTTTTTTTATTTATATTAGTGAATTGTTGAATATTAAAATTTTTAAAGCTAAAAATTTGAAAATAAATAGATATAAATTTTAAATAATGTGTATTTGAGAAAGATTGTGTATTTAATTTCAATTTATTGACTATTCATTTTCTTATTTATTTATATGAAAAAACATATTTTTATACATTTTCTCCATGAATGAAATTCCGTCACGAAATAAAGTGAAAATACACAAAAATGGACTCAAAATCATATATATGATTTTTTTTATTTATTGTGGTAATTATATATATAATTTATAATTTAAAAATTTTAAAGAGCAAATTAATTAATTTTATTATTAGTGTAGATTAAATATATTTGAATCGGGAAGAGTGAAAGAAAAATGCATGCTTGTTTATGGTTTTTAATGAAAACTTAATGTTGATGATATTTTATATTTGGAGGGTTAATTAGGTTAATTAATTAGGATTAGTATTTAAATGAAATTAGGAAAAGAAAAGATATCTTATTGTGAAGAGAAAACAAGAAGAGCACAAAAATGGGGTCTTTCAGGGAATGGAATTTCTTTACACGCAAAAACAAAAATCCCGACCAACAACAAATTCAACCAAAGGTTAAATTCTATAAATATTTTTTAACTTTTTTTTTTTTTTTTTTTAACAATTTATCATCTTAGTAGGTTACTGTGGTCCTAAGATATACAGTTCACTGTAAGAATTGTATAAACCAAATGAAGAAATGTGTCCAAAGAATGAAAGGTATGCTATTAATTTAATTTAATAACTAAAAAGTTCGAATTATATACGTAACGTAAAACGTGTCGGTTAGTGAAAGGTTTTGTTTTCCTCCCCAATGGAAGTGTGATCTCACAGTCCACCCTTAGCCATAGTATTCGATAACACTCATTTCTTACTCGAACTGATGTGGGACCCCAATTCACTCTTTTTTGGGATCAGCATCCTTGTTCGCACACCGTCTCTTGTTCACCTCCCTTCGAAACTCAGTCTTCTTACTCAAAAATTATTTGGTGTCTAATTCTGATATTAGCTTCTAAATTTTTTAAAACACGTCAGCTAGAAATAGATAGGTTAAACCTAATGCTTAATTCTCCACCTCCACCGATGATGTTTGAAGGGATTGAAAGCGCAGAAGTTGACGAGGAGAACCCTGAGCTGATAACAGTAAAGGGAGTTTTTGAAGTGCAAAAGCTTGTGGCCCACTTACGAAGAGGAGTCGATAAAATTGTCACCATTATCAAAGAAGAAAACGCCGCCGGAGGAGGCAGCGGTGGCGGGGAAGAAGGAATAGAAGCTGCCGCTGCTGGAGGAGGCAGCAAACAAAAAATAGAAATTACCGCTGCCGGAGGAGGCAAGGAACAAAAAGTAGAAATTGCCGCTGCCGGAGGTGGCAGGGAAGAAAAAATAGAAGTTGCCGCTGCCGGAGGAGGCAAGGAACAAAAAATAGAAGCTGTAGTCACCGGACGAGCCGATGAGATCGAAGAAGTGGAAACATATTTTGATGCTTTGTAATCTAATAATCATAAAAATGTTTTAATGGTTAATTTATTTATAATTTTCTTTCTTTAATCTTTATTTGTAATTTTATTTTTACCCCATTACAAAAAATATATATATATACATATATATAAATTAATTTTAACTGACATTTCTATTCTTTATTAAAAAAAAAAAATTAGAGTGAATCGTGTGACTAATTTAAAAAATGATAATGAATTTATAACTAAAAAATACATGTATATTAATATGAGACTTTTTGAAAAAGCTCAAAACAAAGCTAAAAAAGTTTAAATGTCGTAAAAGTCACAACTTTACGCATGATTTTATAAAATTGAAAATAAAAAAAAAAAAACAAATTAATTAATATTTTAAAGGCCCAACTTAAAACCCCTTTTTCTATTATGTGAAAATGCTCCATCACCTAAAATGTGGAAATAGTTTTATTTTAATTTATTTTATTATTAGTTGGGGATATTTAAATTATTATGTGGCACAAATAAGTCAATTTAAGCTAGTTAGTTGTATAGAGAGTTCAATGTATGTACGCAAACAAGATTTGGACAAAAAAAAAAAAAAAAAAAAAAGTTTAAATNATGGATAAATTTTTTTTTTTTTTTTTTTTTTTTTTGTTGCTTTTATAAATTTGGAAGTTCTAATTCAAATTTTCTACTTTTTATGTGTGAAATGAAAATTTCAAAGAAAAATTCAATATGATTTATCATCTTATTATATATATATATATATATTTATTTATTTATTTATAATATCAATTAAAAATATCGAGTCGATTTTGTTTAATTTTTATTAATAAAAAATAAATTTGAAGTATATTTTTAACCCACACATTAGACGTTTGAACTTGATTTAATGTATGAAAATAGAGAAACAAAATAGAAGATTTGAGTCAATTAATCACGTAGTCCATTGTATTTATCCACTTAAGATAGTTCAATAATTCAACAAATAAAACAGTTTTTTTTTTTAAATTTAAGTATCTTAATTAGTTATTGAATTCGACAAACTCAAAACTCAAATCACGATGATGTCTATTATATTATTTTTAATAAAGAAAATTTAAAAAAAAAAATAAGTATTGAGATATAATTTATTAATATCCATCAAAAAATGATTGTGGGGCAATGGTCTAATCTAACTTTATTTAATATCTATCTCAATAATGATATACTCCGAGCACATTTGTTTGGGCACTAAAACTGTAAGAGGCACTTTTCTGTTTTTGATTGGATTGGATTGAATTGAATGGTGGGATATTAGTTGTTCACATCCGTCGCATATTTCAAATATAATTTTTAATATATGGTCATTATTTTCTCAACAATTTCTTATCAAGATGCATACTCCACTTCAATCTCCACCATACAAAGTGTGTTCTTATCAATCATTTATGTGCCACTTTAAATCAATATATTCAAAACTATATAATAAATTGTGAAATCCTCATATAATGTGCCATAAATAGTAGAACACGGTTGTAGAGATTATATCATGAATATCAAAACTATTTTAAAAGTTAAAACAAAAATAAATTGAATCGATCAAAATAACTAGACTGATCTTACCACTCCAACTAGCGGATTTAAAGTTATTTCTTCTTACGACGATCATTTTTTAGTAGTGATGGTCACTGACATTACCTAATGGTTAAATGAAGCACAAGACATGTGAAATCTTAAATCGATTGGAGAGAGAAACGAGTGTCAGTGATGACACTGGACCCTCGAAGAGAGGTGGATTGTAAAAACTTTGAGGGAAAACCCGAACTGTTAACCGTGGACTTTTACCCTTACAAGACATGATAGTTGTGGATAAGAATCAATGATAAGAATATTTAGAACAATTTAAAAAAAAAATCCAAATAAATTTCGATTAATATTTCGCTAATATTTTAAATTTTATATGTTTTATAATTGGTGAGAGAAAAATAATTTTTAGCTATATTTGAAGATTGAATTGAATCATTTTTTTAAAATAATTTAGAATTAATATTACGCAAAATTTGTTGATATTTAAATTTTAGAGTTGAAATTAAAGTAAATGATTTTTTTTTCTTTATATTAAATATAAAATGGTACGAAATTTTAAACCGACTAAACTGACTCACGAGTCGTGATGGAACCTGAAAAACAGTATTTTATATTTGGGTCATTTTCCACAAAGGACAAAATTATTGCCTAATTATAATTTTAAGGGGAAAAAATATTATATATAATTAAAAAAACACCCAAAACGACATAAACCACGTGTTAAAATTATTTATTTTATTATATAGTTTTTGGATTTGACAATAACTAATATTATTTAAAATTTGAGCACCTTTCACAACATGATTATTACAAGAAAAGTCAACCTAAATGACTTATGCTTCTAATTCGGTTTGAGCTTATCCCAACCATTAGATGAGCTTTCTCCTCTTAACTGATCTTAATGTTTTGATATTTGAGTTTAAGTAATCTAATAATGTTTTTTTACCATTCCGCAGGTGAGATACGACTTTTAATACTATTCAATTTAGTTGGCTACTCTTTAGTATTCTCCATATAGTCTTGATAATGTGAAGAGCAACCTCATATCGGTCAACTATCTCGATATTATATGCTACAAGTTTTACACCCAGAGCACCACTCCGTTAACCTAGCAACATATCATAGCTTATACATCTAGAGCACCACTCAATATCATATGCCTCAATAACAAGGTTCAGAAACATAGATCATCGATGGTAATATAAATCACACAACTAAATAACTTAATATGTATTCTCCATCCAAAGATTCCCTATATACATAAAATAAAGTTTAGAATAAAAATAGACCAAATTTGAACGATCAAATAACTTTAATTTTATTAAACATACATTAATTAATTAGGTTAAACATTATGAACTAGAAGAACTAGAAAATGTACATTCACCTAGAAGGAGCAATTGGATTTTTTTTATTTTTTTTTTCAATGAATTTATAAGTAAACAAAATTGAAAGGAAAAGCATGGGGAATGGTGGGTTATCTCGGGGACTTTAATGACTCTACTTGGGATTTACCCTGAGGACCTCTCATCCTAATGAAAAGCCTGTATTCATCGAAAGTCATTGGGGAATAAAGTGCGGGTTTATCTTCAGTTATTAGCTCTTTTGCTGGCTCTATTGGAATGTCGCTCTTTGGATTGTAAAAGAAAGCCAATGAAACTCGTTCTTTGTTCGAATTTACAATCACTCTGTGCTCCACGCTTCTGTATATTGCATTGCTTAGAACCTGTTAAAAACAAAAAGACAAATGTCTTAATTTTCGTAGCTTTTTAGAGATTTGAATGTACGATCAGGTGGTGAATCACATACTATGTTAAATTAAAAAGTTGAGTCAGTAATTGTCGACAATTTGGGCTCCAACAAAGGGACCCTTTGATGAACCCAGCATACAAATTTGCTATCAGGTGGAGGTACTGCGTAAGGACGAAAAAGGAACAACTTTGGTCCTTCCCATTCGAAAAGATGACCCAAATTTTCTAGAAAATGAAAAGAATGGTCCAACAAAACAAAGACCCCTCCATGTGCAGCTGACAATAACCACACCTCAAACATTTTTCTTTTTCAGGCCATATATTACTATTTTTTACCCCAAAAAAAAAATAAAAATACCTTATTGGAATGTTTAATAATACCCCTAAATAAATTTTAGATATTAATAAAAATAGTTTTCTAACTTTTCAAAAATACATTTTTATTCTTTCATTGAATAGTAATATTAGTACTTTTAAACTTTTAGAAAAAAGTTTTAAAAGATTCCACTGTACCCTTCTATTAAAAAAATATTATTATTATTTTTATTATTATTATTATTTATAAATGCTTTTAAAATTTAATGTGATATTTCTAAATATTTTTAAAAAGTCAAATTTAATAAAGAAAATAGAATTTTAAAGATATTTTAAAAATAAACTAAAAAGTTGAGTATATTTTTATTAATTTATGGAATTTGTTAAAAAAAAATTGATTTCTAAAGAGTAAATGAATGGAAAAAACCTGAACTTGATCGCCCACATTGACTATAATAGCATGGGGAGCTGGTTTGACGGTGATCCATTTATGGGCGTTCCGAACTTGAAGTCCGGCGACTTGATCGTCGGGAAGTAGCAGCGTCAATCCGCCGGGGTCGGAGTGGGATGACAGCCCCAAGGTCAGCTCCGGCTGGGGGCATTTTGGGTAGTAATTAACTCTCAAACAAGCTCCTACGTCTTCTCCTCCAAACGCATTCCGTAAATACCCTTCTTGAAGCCCCAAATTTAGCGATAAAAGCTTCAACAATCTTCCCCCTAGCTTCACTACTTCTTCCCCATACTCCTCTATCAATTCTCTGCATTTAAAAAATTAAAAAATAAAAATAAAAATAAAAAACCATCAATCCCTTCCTAAATTTCAAATTAATTAAATGGGTCGGATTGGATTGAATTGATTACCTTAAGCAAGGCGGGGCGGCGGGCCACTTATTGTGGTCTTTGAGGTGAGGAGGAAGATAGTGAAGAAAAAAGTAGTCACTCCAATCAAGAATAGCTCCTCTTTGAACACCAAGGCGGCTGCCGTACCCTTCATAAGTCCTAGGATTATTGGCATAGCCCTGTTTAATCTCCACCGGCAGCTGGAAAAAATCATGCCACCCTTGCCGGATGTCGTCCAGAAGCTCCGCCCTGATGCCGTGGTTGGTGATTTGGAAGAACCCCCAATTGCGGCAGGCGTCCGAGACTTGCCTCAGAATGGTGTCTCGAAGTGCGTCGTCTTGGTCCAGACAGAAGCCGTGGACGTCGATGATTGGGATGTTGACGGCGTCAGAGGCGGCAGCGGAGGCAGTCGGGCGGTCCGTCGGAGGCTTGATGTAGCGGGTAGGGATGACGGGGCACCCACTTTCAGAGAGGGATTGGACACGCACTATGGGTTCGGGCCAGTCTTGGTCGAGGTTAGTCATCACGGCCAAGGAGGCTCTTGGAATTCCAAGGTTGATCT